TTTGTTTGTTTGTTTGTTTGTTTGTTTGTTTGTTTGTCTGTCCGGAAATTCGGTTCGACCTGAAGAACAACTTGGAGAGGTCGGGTCAAGGTGGGGATGGGTAGGGCATGGGACAAGATGTAAAGAGCACACATGACCTTGCAAAGCCCCACCGTGGGCGGGGCATGTGCTGAAAGTTGGCGGTGCTGCCGCAGACAAAAATTCATAATTCGCTTCAGAGCAGCCCAGAGATGGGAAAAAGTGGAATAAGGTTAGCAAGGAGTTGTCGGACTAATTAAGGGAGATACACCCAAAATGGGCGGGGCGAACTTGAGACGGGTGGTGCTTTCCACAAAATTCAGTAACTCTATTCCCAAGAATTCGCGAAAAAGTCGATGCAGAAAGGCAACGTCTACGGAGAGTTGGGCATGCCTGAGGCGTATTGAGACCTACCCACAGTCGGCGGAGCTTGCCTTCTCGTAGGGTGGACATTTCAAGGATTTGCAGCTCGGTTCCAGAGCACGCCAGAGACCGGAAAAAAAGTGGATTGAGGTCAGCGAAGGGTCGCTGCTTGAGAGTGGGGAAACACGTGTTGTGGGAGCGGCCTGCTCTGAGGTAGGCGGCGCCAGACAAAAAGTCTAGGGCTCGGTGCCAGAACACTCCAAACATTGCAGAAAAAGTGGCTTAAGGTTAGCGAAAGGTCGCCTGTTGCGGGGGGCAAACGTGCTGTGGGCGGAGCCCTTTCCGAGATGGGCGGAGTCAGACAAAAGATCTGTAAGAACGGTCCCAGAGCACTTCAGGCACTGGGGAAAAAGTGGACTGGAGGCAAGCGAAAGGTCACCGGTTGGTAAGTGCGAGGACACATCCGTTGTAGGCGGAGCGGGCAACGAGGCGGGCGGGGTCAAAAGCAAAATCTGTAAAATGACTCAAGGGCACTCCAGATACCGGCAAAAGGTGAGCATGCGCAGAAGTTTAGCTGTTGAAGCGAGAAAAGCGCGCCCATTGTGGGCGGAGCTCTGTCAATATGAGCGGAAGAAAGTCAAAAAATTCACGAATTGGTTTCAGAGAGCATAGGCACCAGGCACAGGTGGATTGAGGTCCACAAGGGGGGGGGGGTAGACGGAATGGGGGAGACATCCCGAAAAGGATGGGTCGCACTAGCGGGCGGTGGTTGCTGCGGGATCTCATGATTCGAATCTGAATGAGTTTGGAGATCAGGAAAAACGGTCGGAGAAGAGGAACATTCAGCGGGGCTGAGTACGTCTGTAGTGTGTGAGCCTCGCCCACACTTGGTGGAGCGTGCCCTCAAGCACGAGGTACCTATTTTCACTGCGTTTTGGTGCATAGGCCGCCATACTCTTGAACACCTGTTGTCACAGGTACATTTGATACCAGTCGGTTCGCTGGCTGACGCCGGCGCGACTCCTTCTCTAATACGGCCAGGCTTTGCCGGATTTGCTTGGCTTCGTCGCGCTACCTGCTTTCGTATGTTTGAATGCTCAACTAATATCCGGTTTTCTCTCATCTGCGCACTTGATCAACGCTGCTTACCACCATTTCATAGACGGTAATAGTGTCGAAAATAGATGTTATTGCTCAGGGAGCGTTGACCATGTGTACAGATGAAGAAAAAGTCGGATTGTTAATTGTTGAGCACCACACATGTGAAAGAAGCCGTATCACAGAAGGAGGCGCGCCGGCGTCATCCAGCGAGTCGAGTGGTGTTTCGATAAAATCACACATATGGGTTGTCACAGCTTATGCTTGTAGCCTTTTTATGGAGTGAACCCAGCTGTCGCTGTTAGACAAATTAAATGTGTTGGTGCTGGATAACTCAGCGCTAATAAAGCGCGAGAGAACAGAAACTTGTTGGCTTTTCACCTTTCACGGCTCCAAAGGGCATTGGAGCCGTGAAAGGTGAAAAGCCACTTTCTTCGCAGTTCTGCTACCCATGTCTCCTAACTAGGCATTCCGCTGATCGCGAAATGCTCCTTCAAAAGGGAGTGGGCGCCAACATTCTAAGCTCATTCAGACACGAATATATATTAAAAATAGCTTACACAGATGGATCGTCTAAGAAATAAAAAGTGGTCGGTTCTAAAAGAGTGTGGGCAAACATGGGCCTCAGACCGCAGCACTGCTTCTGCACTTTATAAATCCATCTTCCCCTGCTGAAATGAAGGTTTATCGATGCAGATAACATAAAAAATCTTTCAGTTGTGATGAGGACACCGGTGTCTGCATGTGCCCAGCGGGGCACATTGTCTTCGGTGTGCAGTGTCAACTACCGCCGCCTCCATCAGCTGTGAGCCAACCAGAGATGACTGCGTCGCCATTATCTGGGCATCTCTCATCACAGCACACTCAAAATACATTGGTGCCGTTTTCACATTCCCCTTGTAGGTTATTGTATCATGCATAAGGCAGCGCCTAGACTTCGAAATGAAGCGCGTCGACACGCTCCTGTGTTATATAATAGCTCTCCAGTGCTGTTGATGGAAATGCGTTCATGGACGGTTATTGATCGAAGCCTTCTGTAAGTGTTTTGGGAAAGTATGAAAATAGGAGGGTATCAGACTAGTGTATTGAGAGAGTGCAGTAGAGTGGGAGTAGTGGAGCGTTATGAAATAGCAACGCTGTTCTACTGCGACCGCACTGCAAACCTTTCTGTTTTATGACACCTAGTCATACTGTCACTTTGTTGAGTACCCACTCATTCTCCTGTGCTCTCTTGGAACACTGGCGGCCGACACTATCGATGCCCGTCTAGTAAGCGTTCTCATCTATAGCGTTGGAGCGCTGCTGCAATGGAAGCGCATTGTCGAAGTCTGGACATTGCCTCGCGAATTAGTGCAGCGTTACTGTGATGTTTGATTTCAGCCACGAATGAATGCAATGACGACACTAATTGTGGAGAACATAAGGTCTGCGTGATGAGACAATGCAAGTGTGAATCGGATTTCGTTGATCACAATGGCGTCTGCAATCCTCTCGAGGGTAAGGACTTTGCTCTCTTTGCTAATTACTCCAACTCTGCCGCAAATCATTACCTCTGTTTCATTTCACATTTCAAGATTGCGTTTTGAGAATACCTAGGGGGACGGTGCTTTGGTTGAGGATGTCTTCATGATTACTTTTCGCATCCCCGCACACTTGTCAGTGGGATAGCCCCGCTTGATTGGTTACGCTGACTGCTGATTTCTCATCAAAGCACTGAGTAAGTGAATATATATAGAATAGAATCTTCTTAACCGAGTAAGTATCCTAAGTCCTCAGTATCCCACATATAATTTGTTAAGTTTGTCTGTCATCAGTTCCTGCTACCCATGTATGTACGTGTATGTGTTTGACCGGACATTCATAAGTTTCTTTGATTCAGCCAGAGAGTTTGAATTGGTAAGTTATATGGGGGTGCGAGAACATGGATGATGGGTGGCAAGAACAGATAAAGGCTGACTAGGGTTGACAAGTAGTCTAAAAAGGGAGGATCACCGAATTTTTAACCCGCGTAGCAGCAGCGGTGGCAGCGGTGGAACGTTGAAACCAAGAAGTGGGTTGGACTCAACATCACTGTTGGGTTGCGAGAAGTGGTAACAGTTGATAAGATTTGACAAAAAGGACCAGAAGGGAAGGGTCACCAGATACATAACGCGGGTTTCAGCAACGGTGAGATGTTGGTTCCAAGACATGAAGTAGCGCATGAGACACGAATACCATTCATGGATGCAGAACGAGTTAAGATTTGTTAACATCCGATAAGAGG